TACTGCAGCTGTCCTCTCCTTCTCGCAATTGTGCTGGAGCTTCTCAACCACGCAATTCCGCTTGGAAAGCGAAACACACCAGTATTTCTCAGCGGCCACTGACAAGACTTCCTGCCAGCTCGATATCGAGACAGTCCAAAACCACAAACCCCAAAGAAACCCGCAAGACCTACCTCACACAACCACACAATGGCCGGCAAGTTCTCCCCCTTGTCCAGGTTCAGCCGCGCGCGAGCCGTTGCGTATGCCTGACGTCCCGACTCTGACCTTTTCGTAGCCAAGAGCATCTTCGAGGCCGACGGCAAGGCCATCCTCAACTACCACCTCACCAGGAGCCCCGTCGTCAAGGACACTCCTCTTCCCAAGCCGACCAAGCACAACCCTCCCCCCAGACTCGCTTCTCTGCACTTCCCTGAGGATGCCAACGTCAACGACATCCTCGACCAGGCCGAGGTCACCTACCCCTGGCTGCTCCAGTCCGGCGCCAAGTTCGTCGCGAAGCCCGATCAGCTGATCAAGAGGCGAGGCAAGAGTGGTCTTCTGGCCCTCAACAAGACCTGGCCCGAGGCCAAGGCTTGGGTCGCTGAGCGTGCGGGTAAGGAGCAGCAGGTTGAGCACGTTACTGGTGTTCTGCGCCAGTTCCTCGTCGAGCCGTTCGTTCCCCACCCCCAGGACACCGAATACTACATCAACATCATGAGCGTTCGTGAGGTAAGTCGAGTCTCCGCTCCTTTTGGCTTCCCCTAGGGTCGTGCAAGTGATTCAGCGGTGAGTGGTCCATTGGGTTGTGCATCAAACAACGGGTTCCGGGCGTTTCCGAGGCGATGCGACATATCGAATTCGAATCGGGCATCAAAAAGTCGTACAAAAGAAAAGATTGAAAGACGTCCGTCTCAGATGGAGCGTCGTGATCTTTTATATGGCTTAGTCTGACTGTGTGTGTGTCGCTGAAAAGTGGACACGCATTGTTGGGCTGCCCGATACGGGAAGACTCTGCCGAGCCGACGGACGAACGGAAGACACGATAACTGGCACAACCCATGGCCCGGCAAATCACACCAACCAACCACGTTGTCACATCTCGGTAGTAGAACCTGTCAATGCTGACTACGACCTACAGGGAGACTGGATCCTCTTCACTCACGAGGGTGGTGTCGATGTTGGTGATGTTGATGAGAAGGCTGAGAAGATCCTCATTCCTGTCGACCTCTCCGAATACCCCTCCAACGAGGAAATCGCCAGCACTCTGCTGAAGAAGGTTCCCAAGGGTGTGCACAACGTCCTTGTCGACTTCATCAGCCGCCTGTACGCTGTCTACGTCGAATGCAACTTCAGTCAGTGTGCCCCTTAAACATTAACCTCATGCTTTGTGCTGACCGAATCGCAGCCTACCTCGAGATCAACCCCCTCGTCGTTATCCCTAACGAGGATGCCACCTCCGCTACCGTTCACTTCCTTGATCTTGCTGCCAAGATTGATCAGACTGCCGACTTTGAGTGCGGTGTCAAGTGGGCCATTGCCCGCTCACCGGCTGCTCTGGGCCTCACCAACGTCGCCGGCGGCGAGAAGGTCAACATCGATGCCGGCCCCCCTCTGGACTTCCCTGCTCCCTTCGGCCGTGAGCTGACCAAGGAGGAGGCTTACATCGCCGACCTTGACGCCAAGACTGGTGCTTCCCTCAAGCTCACCGTCCTCAACGCGACCGGCCGTATCTGGACCCTCGTCGCCGGTGGTGGTGCTTCCGTCGTCTACGCTGATGCCATTGCATCGGCCGGTTTCGCCGACCAGCTCGCCAACTACGGCGAGTACTCCGGTGCCCCTACCGAGTCCCAGACCTACCACTACGCCCGCACCGTCCTCGACCTCATGCTTCGTGCCCCTCTCGCCAAGGAGGGCAAGGTCCTGTTCATCGGTGGTGGTATTGCCAACTTCACCAACGTTGCCAGCACATTCAAGGGTGTCATCCGCGCGCTGCGCGAGTTTGCGACCACCCTGAACGAGCACAACGTCCAGATCTGGGTCCGTCGTGCCGGTCCCAACTACCAGGAGGGCCTCAAGAACATGAAGGCCGCCACCCAGGAGCTCGGCCTGAACGCCAAGATCTTCGGCCCTGAGATGCACGTTTCCGGCATCGTCCCCCTGGCGCTGATTCCCGGCAAGTGGGAGGCAAGCGGCGCCAAGGAGTTTGTCGCTTAAGCGCGCATCGTTATGAAAAAGGGGAAGGAAATGACTTTAGAGGTGGAGGACAATTGACGCGATCTAGACGAAAAGATGCTGCGTACGAGGATGCCGCGGGAGGGAGAACTAGTCCCGCCTGCGTTTGCGATGAGATGTTGGATTCCCGAAGCGAAATGCGGCGCTTGCAGGGGATGGACCAATGTGTATGTATGTGTAGCAGCGCAAGGTTCGGGAGGCATTTGGTTGCTGATTAGACGAGCAGCCGGAGTGCTTTAATGTGATATTTCCGCTACACCAGCGTTCGTGAGGTTTTGTACTCTTGACTGGAAACGTGGCATGCTAGCGAATCCATGTAGCTTGGACCTTGAGTTTGTCGAATAGGTAGGTAAGGTAGGCATGGTTGACCAACCAAGAGGAGGAGGATGCATCACGTGCGAGGTTGAGGCGGCGGTCCTGGAGTAAAAGGCATTGACACATGATATCAGAGTGCCGTCGTATGAGGTTAAGCAGAGGTGTAAAGTACAATTTGGCGACACAGATTGAGAGATGTTGAAACACCAGAGGCGAAAGCCTGGCAAGGATCTCGGAGAGCGTACGATTGCAAATCGGCAGCAATAGGTAAGGCGTTTGTTGGTGACATCATATACGCTAGCATGAACCCCAAAATTCAACAAGCCTCGTTGGCTTAGTGGTAAAGCGCATCACTAGTAATGATGAGATCACTGGTTCGATTCCAATACGAGGCATCTTCCTTTGCATATCTTTTGGCCATTTACATTTTAACATGTACATCAATTCCATCGATCAATTCGATAGCAGGCTGTTGTCTGCCCGGGGGGTTTCAAATTGACTGACTGGCACTTCATCCGGCATCTCACCGCACTCTACGGCCCAGAGCGCCTTGACGATGACCTTAACGCACATAGAATTCGGTTGAGGATGGCGTGTGGGTCATTGGAGACATCAATTGGCAAACATACCGAAGCACAAGCACGAACGACCATGTACGATAAATGCGACCTTTGGACCAAACAGGCAATATCTGCCCTTGATTATCTTCTGAAGGGGTTGTCCTTGTTAAATCTGCAACACCTTGATAGCGTTTTCCAGTCTAACATAAGTTCATGAGATGTCTATTCCGAGTTATTGTACATCATGGTAGTAATAGAGCAGAGTATCAGCGCCGTCCATGTCTTCTGAGCTCTCCTGCGACTCCCCGCCGTCTTCCGCAATGTCCCTGAACTCCGTAGACCTGGTCGAAAAACCCACAGTATTGTACATGTATGTGCATCTCCTTCATCTTCCCGTTTGACCATCCTCTCAAGCAGGCCAGCTCTGGTCCAACTCGTCATCTCCTCAAGCGCCATCAATCTCTGCCACGTCGACCCCCGTCTCCCCTCTCCGAAGACGTAGCTTGAAAGGCCGGACACGGCTCCCCCCTCCCGAGCCCGCCGAGCAGCCAATCCGTCAGCCCGACAACCTTGGCCCCAACCCCCCTCTCCCAGTCGCCGCCGCCCTGCACCGTCTCGATGGTGTGGCTGAGGATCCTGCCCTTCTGGTCAAACTGGAAGATGAAGAGGCCGGAAAAGTGCTGCTCCCTCTTCTCGCCCTTGCCGACCTCGAGCCCGCCCGGGCCGTCGCCCTCGCGCCCCGGCGCCGCGCACGTCGACCAGCGCACGACGAGCTGCTCGTCGCGGCCGCCGGGGCGCGGGGGCGCGGCGCCGGGGATGGGCTGGCGCGTCATGCGCGCCGTGTGCACCTCGAGGCGGACGTTGCCGATGACGGGGATGCGGTTCCAGGCGATGGGGGAGGTCCAGAGGGCGGCGGTGTAGGCCACGCGGCCCGAGACGACGGGGAGGTGCGGGTGCGTCGAGGGGAAGAGGTGGAGGGAGATGTTGGGGGCGAGGATGTCTTGGTCAAGGGGGTATTGGAGGAGGGTCGGGAGGCGGTCTTGGAGGATGCGGAGGGCTGTCGAGAGGGTCATGTTAGCGGTCTGCTGTCGGGGCTTCGTGGGCGGGCAACGCGGCGGCGAGCTGGTGGCTCGACGTTGTCGGAAAGATGGGAGGGGGAGGAGAAGGCGTACTGCGGCCGAGGTTCACTCGGTTCTCGTCTGGCGGTTTGCCTTGCGGATCTGGGGGGCCTTCGCCGGGGACGCCGTTTGATGGGTCAAAGTAGCGATTGGGCAGGCCGGTTTCGCGTCTCATATGTGGTGTGCTCGCGAGCTGGTGAAGCTGTGGCGTCGCAGGTGCCGAGCCTGGAGCTGAAGCTGAAGCTGTCGCGGGTGAGCGAGCAGTGCTAAGATCTGTGACGGCGCGGAGCTGCTGCTGCTGCGAGGGCGGCCGACACAGCCTGCAGCACCTGTGGGCTGTCGCTATTGCGAGGCGCGTGCTGGCCATGGCGGTTGGGTGGCGGTAGGCATCGACAGGAGAGTGTCTTGTGGGAAGTGCTGGTGTGTGGGTTGAACGGGAAGAGGGAAGCTCGAGAAGAATGATGTCAGAAAATTGTTTGCTGGGATGCACTATCGCGGGTGGGGCCGGATGCCGGCGCGAGACGGGCAAGAAATCGAACCATCGTGTCTCTCTGCTGGGAACGGGGCAATGTTGGCAACGCGCCCCTGTAGTGAATTTCAGTACTGGTATTCTCGTCTTACCTTCCGTAATAACCGGACGAATAAAACGGGCTGTTGACACCGTCTCCTCCTGTCTTGCGTGTCGACCATCGTCGCTCATCGTCAGGTCGTGTCACACTGCATACCACCAAGTTACCCGTCTCGTGTGCACCTCTTGACATGTAACTTCTTCTTTGATATTCATTTATGTACATCATTCCTTCGGATGCGGGAACTCGTCCTCCATCTGTAACCTCACACCGACATTCATACTAATCAGTTCTTGCACCAGTAGCTTCGCAGCATACGGCATCGTCATCTTGGTCACCTCCTTGGTGCTCCTGCACGTGTGGCAGTAGCCCTTGTAACCAAACAGGCCACACTGCTGGCAGATGTCAATCTCCGTGCCGTCCGAGCTGATCATAAGACGCTCCAGCAGCAACTGCGAGGCGCCGTAGGCGATCAGACAGTCACGCTCCATCTCGCCCAAACGCAGACCACCCTCGCGCGAACGACCTTCCGTCGGTTGTCTTGTGAGGATGGCACGAGGTCCCCGCGCGCGAGAGTGCATCTTGTCTTGGACCATGTGCTTGAGACGCTGGTAGTAGATGGGGCCGTTGAAAATGTAGGCCTCAAGCGGTTCACCCGTGATGCCAGACGTGAAGTAGTCTTTGCCCTCCCATGAGAAACCGTGGTCGACGAGAGCCTCACTCATCTGCTTGAGAGGATGCGAGCGGAAGGCGTCACCGAAACCGTAGTCCGGACGACCGTCCAAGACCGACGCCTTGCCTGTGAGGCACTCGAGCAGCTTTCCGACCGTCATTCGAGAGGGGAAACCGTGAGGGTTCATGATAATATCAGGAACCAGGCCCTTGTCAGAGAACGGCAGGTCCTCTTGCTCCACGATAATGCCAACAACACCCTTTTGTCCGTGACGTGACGAGAACTTGTCGCCCAACTCTGGCCTTCTCGTCTGTCTCGTCTGCACCTTGATGACCATGTTGTCCTTTTCGCTCTGAGAGATCATCACCTTGTCAATGTATGCCGGATCAGGGATGCGATATGATATTGACGAGTCGCGGAACTCGCTAGGGCCGCGGTCGTTACCGATACCAGTCGAGCCCGTGTCCAGAGGAGTCTCCTTCTTCACCATGGCCTCACCAGCCCTGACCTGGCCACCGACCATGGCCAAGCCATCAGGATCCAGAGCTGCGTGTTTGGCAATGCGCCTTCTAGGCTTGCCCTCCATCTCCTCGTACTGCGGGTCTCCGATGCGTTCTCGTTTACCGTTCGGGTACTTTTGCAGCTCAGCCGAGTACTTTCGGAACACCTGACAGCGTCCGAAGCCACGGTCGCACGAGGCCTTGTTGAGTACCAGGGCATCCTCGATATCGTAGCCAGAGTAGGACATGACAACGACTGTGGCGTTCTGTCCGGCTGGCAGCTTATCGTAGTGGATGAGCTGAATCGTCTTGGAGATGACCATCGGTCGTTGCGGGTATACGAGGGTGTAGAGCAATGTGTCGATGCGGTTGAATTGGTTGTAGGCAATTGCGCCAATAGCTTGCTTGCCCATTGCACACTGGTAGGTGTTACGGGGTGACTGGTTGTGGTGAGGGAAGGGAATGAGGCCTGCTACGGCCCCGAGAATTGTGAAGGGTTCGATTTCCATGTGCGTGGTGCTTTGGTTGACGTCGGTTTCGTAGAGAGCCACAAGCGTATCGTTCTCCTCGTTGACATCCAAATACTCGACGACACCATTCGTCAAGAAGTCATCAAAAGTGGCCTTGCCGAGCTGGAGAAGCTTCAGGTGCTCCGCCTTCAGCTTCGGCTTGCCGTTCTTGACAATAATGTAAGGCCGACAAATTCGTCCTTCGTCAGTGGCAATATGTACAGCATTGAAGTGGTTGTTAATGTGAACGCCGACAAAGGGCGAGATCCAGCCACGGCGACGCATCGTTCTGAAGCGGTTCGTGAACCTTTTCGGGAACTTGGTAAGCGCAAACGGTGTGCCGTTGATGTGGATGATATAAGATCCCTCGCGATGCATCTCACTTCCGGAGAAGTTCCTGATGGGTTCGACATTGTCGTCCACGGTAAAAACCCAACGCTTGACAGGTTCCTCCTCGGCGTTGGTGGTAATATGCGTCATGAGAGCCAGGTTCTTGACCAGACCGCAAGCCTCACCTTCGGGTGTATCCGAGGGACACAACATACCCCACTGTGAGGGCTGCAGCGCACGCGGTCCACTGACCTTTCGCGTCTTTTCAAACTGACTGCTGATGCGCGTCATCATACCCAGGGCACTGATATAGCTCAGACGACTCAGGACGTGAGTGACGCCGGCTCGGTTCATGTTGAATCGTTTCACGGTCCAGTTGCCCGTCTGGATCGCCCGGTTGATTCCCTGGCCAATGTTGTTGGCGTGGTTGCTGATCATGGTGACGGCGTCCATGGCCACGGCGCGGTTGTCTTTCTTCAGGACCTTGTCGATGCTGGCCTTGACGTCGCCGCAAAACTTTTTGAACAAATCCTCGAAAAGAAGAGAGAGCAGCTGTCCAGCAAGCTCGAGTCGCTTGTTTCCGACGAAATCCCTGTCATCCACGAGGCTCATGTTGGCTTGGGCCATGAGAACACGGCGCGTCATGAAAGCAACGTAGATGGCCTTGGGGTAGAAGTCGAGGCCCTCGACGGGTATGTGGGCAATAATAAGGTTGGATAACGCATCCATACCCTCCTCGATGTTGTTCTTCCGGGCCTGCGAGTTGGGTTGAAACCTGCCCCTGCCGCCCATCTTGACGCGCGATCCGATCCACTCCAGGGCCTGCTGCTGGGTATAGACACCCTGCTTTGTCGCCTCGTCAAAGTTGACGGTGAACTCATCCTGGTATCTTCCGTCATCACCAGCAACAAGCTGCATGATTTCGAGGTCAGACAGGCCACCCAGAGCTTTGAGAACGATGACAATGGGCGCGGGTTCCACGAGGACGTTGTGGACGAGGGAGATGCGATCTTTCTTCAGCGTGATATTGGTTTTGGTCTTGCGCTCGTGGGTAGAACTGGTCACAGAGGCGGTGATGATGTTGTTCTTTTCATCAGCCTCGACAATGACACGGTTCTTACTGAGCTGCTCCTGAATCAGGATGACCTTCTCCGTGCCGTTGATGATAAAATAGCCGCCAGGGTCGAGAGGACATTCGTTCATGAGAGCCATCTCCTTGTTCGAAGCACCGTTGAGACGGCACTTGGCTGACTTGAGCATGACGGGCAGCCGTCCAAGGGGCACATTTCTGCGGACAATCTTGGACTTGTCGCGGATGTAGGCGATGTCAACAAAGATGGGAGCGCCATAGGTCATGTCGCGCAGACGGCACTCCATGGGAGTCACCTCACTGTGTGCACGCGCATCGTTAAAGTCAAGTCGGCTTGGGCTCTCGACCCGAATGTCCGTGAACCTAGAATTGTTGTAAGTATATAAAAAGATTCACAGCCATGATTCTGGTTCATGGTCCACGTACTCGAGCCAGAAGGAGCTGTTCACATCACTTCGGATGGTGCGGTTCGCGCGCACAATGTCCTTGATCTCATGGTCGACGAAGAAGTTGTAGGAGTCAATGTGTTGCTTCACCAAGCCCTTGACTTTGAGAAAGGCGGGCAGCAGTTGAAATTTGTCTTCCTGGGTTGAGATGGGATCCGTGAGCTTCTTGCCGTTGTAGAAGGGCTCCAGCAGGGCCTCGAAGCCGTCGTCGAGGTACGGCATCTTGAGATCACCTGCGTCTCTGAAGTCTCATGATCAGTCCGTGTGTACTCGGGTATATGCCGACAACAAAGGCAGGCTGTTGCAAAGTGGTGGTCCAACCGAAGGCGACGAGGTGCAGAACGACTGGCATGAGAATTGACTCTGATGAGTCCAGGTGCAGTGCGTGCCGCGACAGTGCAAGAAAATCTTCCTCGGAGTTGACGGGTGGCGGCAGTTGCCCCGCGCTGCAGGAACGTTGTCTTGTGGCGGTCGGCGACGAGGGTGATGTTGCGATAAGGGCGATAAGAATGTACCCTTGCCGCCTTTGGTTGCGGACGTTTGGGTCAAAAGCTTGTCTGAATTGACCTCGCAGCTTCCCAATAGAGGCGACCACCAGGTCAAATATCTCTGATGCCAGGCAGGAGGAAACCATCGAAGAGTATCTTTTCGGGCAATGATGCATATTACATACAACTGGTTAATTTGATGATATACTACCAGATCTACCTACCTTGTACAACAACATCACCAAGATTAGCAAGCAAGCGTTTCATGTAGCCCGAGCTCTCCCAGCACTCTTTCAGATGAAGCATGAGGTTAACGCTGCCTCTTACTAGACCTCACGTATGGAGCATGGGTTTTTGTTTTCCGGGGAATGAATGTCAGATGGCGCGCTGGGAGCCGTCTAGCAAATACGCGGCGGCTCGTCAGAACGCATAGCCACTGTGATCAATACACGTTGGAAAATGCCCAAAATTTGGGCCATCACATTCAACGCCTTCATGGCCTTAGGGCTGAGGCATAAGCATGTTCAGCAATAGCACCATATCGGGTGGCGCATTGCTTGGCTCTTCAATGGCACATACTGACCGAGGAGCTTAGGGTACTGGTAGCTGAAGTACGCCAAAACTCGGATGACCTGTCAGCCATCGACAACACAAGTTTTGGGATATCGACATATTGGCCTACGTCCTCCCAAGAAAGCAAGGCAAGCATATCCCGGTCCGGGATGTAGAATGAATACTCATCTCGTGCTACGAGCGGGTGTACCTGAGAGCAACCTGCAGACGGCGAGTCAACGTACGCAACACGAGTCCGATTGGCGATGACAGGTAGGGGCATATCCTGTTTCACTGAAGAGTCAAGGAGATATCTTATTAGGTCAGTGATGGTATCTCCGTATTCCTGAAATGCGGTTAGTTCAATGTTGGTAATGGCTGGGGCAATTCTAGAGGTGGTTTATTTACGCCATCCCAGCTGGTCTCACGGCTTCATGTTGAACAAGCTCCCCGATCGCAGGAGTATCCGGACTCTACGGGTCAGGCGCTTCCGAACTTTTACACAATGTGACTCGGTCGTTCATGCTGTGGTACGCTGGATTTACGTCAAAAAGCCACAGATCTCATTGATGGCCATTATAGGCTGTCTCCGGGGAAGGCATCGTCGAGCAAGTTTGACCTGCCCGTGTTGCATTCGTCTTGCCATCCCATGAGCTTCACCTTATCTTGGTACCTGGCCTTGTATTTAGATGACCGACGACCTAAGCTATGAAGTTGTCAGTGGCGGCCGATCCGTTGTGGTCATGGGTATTTACCTCCCGTCAGTTGGTGAGTGGCAAGCCCTCTAGACGAAAACTAACAACCTAAGGTACCTTAGGTATGCATCAACGAAACCGTTCGCGATTGCTTCTTCCGATTGTAGAAGGACAATGCCAAGGTTCCTTTCCTAAGGTGCCTTAGGTAAAGGTAGGTGTGGAAAGAACCTTACCCCTTGGTACCTTCTTCGCATGGCCTCCTACCCGAGACCAGATGCAAAGTGGCACCTTCCGCGATAGGCCACTGTGACGTGACGTACCCTTAAGCACCCCGCGATGTTCTTCTGCAGCTTCGGCAGGAAACATTGCCTGCTTGGTAACCCATGTCAGACCAAATAATTGTGCCCTAAACACAAGAACTCTGCGCGACTTGAAAATTGCTCGCCTTCACCCCACCTCATGCGCAACATATGCATCTCACTACGGGCCTCGAAAGCGATGCTTGGACAACCCCTCTTCGCCCCTCTCTTGGCTTGTCGTTACACTCCCCCATCGCTCCCCGCAGGGGCTGCAGCAAGATGTGATGCAGGCGCAAGCGCAGGAGGCGCTGCATGCTGCGCTGGCAGGACCGCTATGGCGAGTTGCATCACCGTGTCCCGAGCCGTCCTCTGCCGCATTCTTCTTAGTCGAGACACCCGACCACGCAGGGCCATATCCAACATCGGAGCTGCAGGCCCAGCTTCGTGGATGGTTGCTGCAAAAGCCTGGGGACCATCGCCTCCCGCAGCCCAAGGCGTGACATACAGGATCTTCCCGGCGGCATGCTGCATCAATCAGTAATGATGGGCGGTTCCCTAATACGATAGCCTGAATGCTGCAATGTCGACTCGAGAAGCTCAACCGGCATCTGATTACGTATCCAGCCATCGTCGCTCCGAGTCCCCACCAGCACGAGCCTCACGACTTTCTAAGGATCGCTGGCGTCACACGGGGTTTGAGGTGGCGAGCAGCACGCATGCTGATCAGCGAGCCGATATTGCCTCGACTCAAATACATGGCATTGCTGGGACGGGTTGATGACGATCAGCCACCCACAAAATAGATGGACCCCTCATTCACCCACACCTGGCACGACGAAGTGGCGTTTGCCGTACACATACTGGTACGACGATTCCGCCTGCGTCCCTCGTCAGAACCCGGTGAACGAGAATTTGAAAGGCATGCAAATGAAAGCCTGCCTGCCGAATTGCTCCCTCCCCACTGCTAGCATCAGCCGGCGGCTGCGACAAGAGCCACACGATGCGGGCCCTAAAAGTCGGTGAAGCGCATTGAGCGATGGAGTGACTTTCCAGGGCTAGTACTGTAAGGCTAAGTATGTTGGCGTGGGATCCGACCTGCTAGTCAAACTTGCCCGCCGCTTTGACGGGTGGGCGTCTACAGATTTTTACCCCATTTGGTTCCTTTGTATGGCGGTGGACGGCATCTCGGTGTGGAGACGAGATGGGACGAAAAAGGGAGGCTGGCAAGGAGGGAGAGGCTGGAGCGGTTTCGAACCCCAGTCTGGGCTCGAGGCAGGTCTGCCATGACAGTTACGAGGACCAGAGAGAGGTGTGCCCGTGTCAGGCAACGATGAGAGAGCTGACTTGCAGCAACGTGCACTAGCACGTGTTCAAGTGCACTGGTCTCCTGCAATCTGGGGATTGAACGTCTCCAAGACGAGGCTGCTACGTGAAGGTGGCTGCCCAAAACCACCTAAGACGTACGAGATGGCACTGCAACAACCACGATTGACATTGAGCAACTCTTGCCTCGCTCAAGAACGGAAGAGCGAACAGATCCTCCACAGACAACAAATGCCGCCCGTTGCGCGATGCGAGAATGGTGGGACTCGGAAGCCAGGCCTGTCCTGGTTTTCGTCGCCGAGCGGGATATTGACCCCCCACTTTGATGGTCTCTTACTTCTCTTACGAGAGACGTTGGCAAGCCTCTAGGACTCAGGTAGGTCTCACGCAGCCCATGGCGGCTCATCATGTTCCAGCGAACATCTCATAACTTGTTTTTGCGATCCGCAGTCGACACAGTGTCGGCGCCCCTATTCAGAAGCTGACAGCGACGGGAAGTGTCACAATCGCACAAATGCACGAGTTTCGCGGCCCGACCAAGACGATGTCGAATGTGGGCCATAGAGCCACGCCGAGCCATACGTGGCTCATGCTACCTTTGGAGGGGTTGACGGACTGAGGGGTTGAGGGGCAGTTGACGAACTTTCCCCATCTCTTCGAAGCAATCGTATCCAATTAAGTCTCCTGTCAAATCGGCTGGCGAGGATGACCTCAAACCGAGCTGTGGCCAGGACGTTCCCGACCTTCAGCTCGACAGTCGTGGCAAACTCCTAGGGCTCCCGGGCTCGAAAATAAGCAAGATCCTCGGAGCCACCAATTTTAGACCTGCCTGATCCATCAATGGCTGGAGACTGTTCGCCATCAACGCTTGAACAGCCGCCGTGTCTCATGCGATCAACGTTGGCACGGACTATTGTATACTCTCCTCCCAAAAAGGAATTTGACAGGTGGAACGCGAACACAGCACGGACGTGGCTTAGATCTCTCATCGTGTGAGATTGGACCAAGCGGCTTCGATGCAAGATCTGTCGTCCGTCGGTGAAAGGCTGCTGCTCACCGTTCCCTTGCAACGAAGCAAGAAAGCGCCGACACAATGGTACTGGCACTGCCTGAGTGCTTTCCGACTGTGGCCACACACCGCCAAGGCTAGGTGGGTGGACCCGGCCTCCTGCGATGCTGCAGAACGGGGAGCGGGGACGAATCGCGGGCTTCGTTATGGTTGAAAAAAGGCAAGTAACGAACCCTATAAAGGAGCTGGTCTGCGGTGTAGCAATTCTGGGCCACAATCAAGGTGGTCTCCAGTGGCGGCTGGCCACTACGGTTGAGGCGTTCAATGCCACGAAGTCAAACGGCCAACTCATTTGTGGGAGTCATCAGTAACGGGACACCTTTTCTCCCGCTCTTGTTCAACTTTGGTCGTCCGAAGTCCTCACCGCTGACGGACACCTGGGAAGACCTTGGACTCACAGTCATGTGGCAGGAGGAAGGACGCAATGGCTGGCTACGCGGACCGACTTGCGAAAAAAAAGGGGTACCTCTCCCAAATCAGACAACAGGCGGAACAGGCTGTAGCTAAGCGCCCCCTGACAGTAAGTGGCATGGAGGGGAGTGCTAGGCCCGACCGTTCATGATGTGCTGCTCTAGTGTGCCGAGCCCTCCCTGGACAACCTTGACAACGCCTTGGTCAGACACACGCTGGTGGAGGGACCGAGGCGCTGCTGCTCCCTGTCCTGGTCCACTTGGTGACTCTGTTGCCTGTGTTGCTCAACTCAATGATGTGAGTTCTCAGAAGAAGACCATCATTCGTGCAAAGTTTACGATACAGGCCTGGGCAACACCGACAAGTCGGTTTTCACGATGAACGGTGACCGCGCGGTGTCTCACTGTCAAGGTTCGTAGCTTTACCATCCCACCAACCCCAGCCAGGATGTGTGACGTGGGCAGGCGGTACCTGACTTAGGGACACGCATGCCCACGCCCAAGGCAAGTCTTCCGCCGATTTGGCGCTACTGAGGGGTTGCTTGAGATACCCTACCAGGCGGCGTCGCCCGTCCCACCACACACCCTTCGGGCCATCTCACCAACCCACACACTCACCCGCCGGAGGAGGGTTCTGCGCTAGAAGCGATGAGGGACCAGGGGACCAACCGGTGGAGCAACGTTAGCGCAGGGGTCTCTTGGGCCATCGCTGGCTGTGCTTCTGGGCCTCGGGAGCCATCGACTGAGTGTGAACAATGGTAGGGAAGGGGAGATTGACCGGGGTACCCAGAGGAGACATGGAGGAGCGCGGGCATGGGCGGTTTATCAGTCTGCGGTCTGATGGACGCTAGAAAAGCCGCATCCTTGGGGGAGGGGGCTCCACGATCAAGCTCCCAGTCGTGGTCCTGGTGTCCTTCATGCAGTGCCTCCGTGGCCCTGAACGATACATTTTCTTTCCTCCCGCCCCCTCAAGCCTCAAGCCTCAAGCCTCAAGCCTCAAGCCTCAAGCCTCGAGTGTGCCCCCCTCTTCTGTTCTCCGCCTGAGCGAGGGAGCTAGCTGGTCATCAATCGGGCCTTGCCCTTTGACCTATCTGGAACTGTCGCGTCGCTCTCGTCTCCCCACGTCCTTTATTGCCCGGCCAGGGTCGTCAGCGTCTGTGCAGTGTGCTTGTTTCGTTCCTTTTCCTCTCTCTTCTTTGATTCGACCTGGACTTGTCCTCTTACATGGACAGTGCCGTGTGTATATCTCTGTCTACTCTTTACCTACCCAACCTCTTCGGCCTGTTCGCCTCTGGCTCTCCAGGGTGCGCGACGTGACGTGTGTGAGAAGAGCTGTCGCCTCTATCTTTTCTACCACCTCACTTGCCTCATACCTGAGGTTGCCGACCCAACTATCTCAAGCCGCGACAGCGAGCTTGTTCACTTTTGGTGACAGCAAAGATCATAACATATCAGAAGAGTGTATCAAGCACATTCAACAACGTGTCCATGGTACGTCTTTTTGTTTCTCATTATTTATCAGTCTTGGTTTGTGTCTTTCACCCTTACCCCTCTTCCCCCTTTTGCTGGTCTTCTGGGCTTCCCCAATCAGTGTTGGCCTTTGGCCACATGCGCGATGGGAACGAGCGAATCCCGCCCGTCAGAAGCATAGGGCTTCGTGCATCACCCCCTACCTTAGGGTTGACAGGCAGAAGCAGCCGAACGACACTTGGGTATGTTGAGCACACTCGAGCCTACAAGAATTGTTGCTATCACTCTCTCTTCCCGAGAGAGCGAGTCTGCCTTCTTGATTCTTGGTCCAGCTCAGCCTCTGCTCTGCCATTTGTGTCGCTCTTGGGCTTTCGGTTCTTGGGTTCCCGCGCTCGCGAATCGCCCATCATTACCCCCAACGGTCCAAGACCCAAGACCCCCCGCCTCCGACTCGCCATAGCGCGTGTGTGTGGCCCGTTACCCTGCTACCTGAGTTTACCATTTTTGACGGCTCTAGCCTGCCTTTGCCTTGCCTCTTTATCTTGAAGTGTCTCGCCTGTCTCTCCTCCTCTGCCACAACCCCCCCCCCCCCCCCCTCCACCACGTTTTGTCCTCTGCCTTTCGACCCTCCCACGCCAAATCTGGCACGCTTCCACTGCTGACCGCTGCCCTTCGTCGGCACCAGCAGCGCCGATAGACCAACATCTCGAACAATCCTCCACTCGAAATCCCTCTTCTCCCACCCAGCCCAATTGCGGGCGTGTACGAAAGATTGTTGTAGTAACGCAGAACGGAGGACGACACGAGAAGGAAACAGACAAGCCTCTACAGACAGAGAGCGAGAGAAAGAGAGAGTTCCAGGAAACATTGAGCGACGGCTTGAACGAGAAGAAAATGGACGACTTGCGCTTTCGATCTCAGCAGTCGCCTCGCAACGAGGCGACCATGAACAACCTTGTCTCACCTCCGCGGAACGGCAACACGCGCATGCCCAACCCAGTCCAGACTCACGATCTACGAACCACCCTGCCTCGTCGCTTCACCACCGATTCGGGGCGTGTACCAACACTGTCTTCTATTACCTCCCTACGCAGCCCCATGGCTGGGCCCGACCCGAGCCAATATGAAAACGTATGTACTTGCTTGAGAGCAGCGTGCTATCAAGGCCCTTGTCTGCCATTCTGCTTGGGGGTGGAATCTGACGGGCGTTCGGACCTGACGGGGATTTTTGGGCTGACATTGATCGCGTAGTCGTACAGCAACTCCCAGGTGCAATTGGTATGTCGCCTCACCAAGCGAGGGTACCATGTGCTCTGCTCGCCTAACCCAGCCCGACGGAGACGAATAGCCTGCTGACCGTAAATCCCAGCTGGAAAAGAAAAAGCGAGAATACGAACGCCTCCGTGACCAGAAGCGCCGCTTCGAGCTCGAGATGCAGAAGCTGGAACAGGTCCAGCGACGCGAGGAGATGGAGCTTCTCAAGATGCAGGACGATCTCCAGCGAGCTGGTCACCAATCCGAGCCGACGACGCCGCCTGAATACCATGACAGCTCCGGCTTCCCCTCCATGTTCTCCCGCCCCAACCGTACTCGACTTCGAGCTTGACGTCGCCACCAGGGCTCTTCAGCCGGCCGGCCGGTCGGGGTCGAACCTCGCGTCGCCGCAGTCGGGCATCATGCAGCAGTCCCGCACGCATGGCGTTCGACGAGCACCATCTTCCTTCGAGGTCGGTGCCTGCTTCGAGGAGGAACAGCGACGAAGATGAGAAAGAGGAATGCGGTCAGGCAAGACTCATCGAGCCGCCGCTCTTCGAATGCGTGAGTCTCCCCCATCCCCTCCTTTCCTAGCTCGCTTCGATTATGTGGACAAGCTGTGGGCGAGTATCTCGGCCGGTGATGAATAATTCTCGGGATTTTTCCCCCGACAACCGTACTCCTCGACAAGGATCACATTTCGTAGCGGCTCGAGTGGGCGCGCGACAACCCTAAGTCTCTCACAATACCCCATCATCCCCATTGCTGCATCCCCATGTCTGCATACTCATTGCTGGGCCATGATACCTTGGAAGAAAGCAGTGCTGCTGCAGTTGACGGCGAGTCAATATTCTCTTCAGGACAGGATATTGAACCCGGCATCTTCACACTGGCCCCAAACATCTAGACTCCTTACCTGGTTTTTCCTGGAGATGCTGCCATGCCTTCCCCAAGCTGTTGCTTTTATCTTGTCTTGAGAGCATTCACTCTCACGGGATGGGAAGATTCAATGGGCGTCACTTCCCAGAACCGTCGCCTGTAGGAAAAGTGCACAGAAGCTCTTTGCCTCAGCTTCCCTTCTTAGCAGGCATTTCGGTGCCTACCCAGCGGACACGATCTTCCTTCCTCATCTGTTATCCTCTGATATTATTGCGTCTCCAGCGCAATCCTCACTCTCACATCTGACGTCCCCTATCTCCTTTTGACACGACTTTCCTGATCCTAGCACATACGCTTTTTCCTCTTCTCCCCACAGCTCCCCCGTATCGTGCTTCATCCCAGCTTTAATCTTTAAACTCTCCAGCTTGCCCACTCGGAAGAACTTGGAGTCACGAATCATGGCTGACAAAGAGGGACCTGGTTCCGTTGACAACAGTTACAACCGCTACTCAATGCCCGTCACTCGTTCTCGTACGGGTCTCTATGGCGCGGACCTTGACCAGACTGGCACTGCCCGCTTCCTCTTCGGCGAGGACGACAACGCTGGCGACGCCAAGTACGTCCAGGCTCTGACTGATGACCAGTTCCCTACCCTCGTTCGCGCCGAGGGCCAAATGGTATGTCTACTTTTTTCTTTCTTTCTTTCTTTCTTTCTCTCTCTCTCTCTTCTTACCTGACCGCTCCTTCCGCTTCTATTCCACTTGCCCTCTGGCCGGCTGGCTGCCTGTCATGGCTCAGCGAATGAACCTTCACGTGAGCTTCAGGCGGCAATATGGAAGACGAGCCCCCGAACTATGGTGAATGCTTTCTCGACGGAGCTATGGCCAAGAGAGTTTATTGATTGTTCTTGCATTGTGGAAGGCGTTGTTCGTTTTTGCTCCTGCTACTGAGACGCATCCCCAAAATCCCTTGCCCTACCCCGTCTCCCGACCACACTGCAAACGGTCCACCTTCACCCTTCCTTTCCCTTTACAGAGTGTTCGTGCTTTGGTTCCTTCACTTATCATCCTCCATCCCTATCCCCTTTCCGACCTTTGAGCTGCCTCACCTCGTCTTTGTCCACGGTTCTGACGTCGGACATCGCCCACAGCTCTCCGCTTCTTCTGCTGCTCTTGACCTTGCTCTCTCCCCGTCTCCTGCACCTGACGCGTCTTCATCCACCAACGGTTGGGGTCATATTAACCGTCATCGCGCCCGACAGAGTCTCTCGAGCATCAACGCTCAGCTCAACGGTTCGTCCTCCGCCGACGGCTCCGTCATCGGCTCGCGTCCGTCGTCGGTCCGTCACTCTCTGGACCTCAAGTACTTCTCCGAGAACCCTTCCGACAGCAACTCAGTCGTGTCTCCTACCAGCAACGGCAACATGACTACTCCTCCCAAGCTGCAGAGCTCCTTCTCTGCCAACTCGGTCCCGACCGTTAAGAATGCCTCGGGTGCCAACAACCATGCTCAGCAGCATTTCCACAACCACAATGCTAGCATCGGTCGCATTCCTGCCGGTGCAGCCCCTCCCCGTCACAGCCGCGAGCTGTCGTCGGACAGCAACATTGGGTCGGGCCAGCAGAGCGGCAACCTCCCGTCCATTCAGAGCGCTCTCCACGGGAATGCTGCGCCCTTTGGCCCTACCAACGGCCTGAACGGCCTCAACCAGAATGCTGCTCCTTTTGGTGGCAACAACGGCATCAACCAGCAGACCAACAGTCTCAACAATGTTGGCCAGGCTGGTGTTGCTGGTCCCAATGGTGCTGGCCAGAACGGCATCAACCAAGGCTTCAACCCGTACGGCAATGGCCCTGTCAACATGTATAACCCCCAGAACAACGGTCAGCTCAACGGTGCCTACGGCGTTCCACTTCTTGCCATGCAGAATCTGAACCTCAATGGCGGCTCGGCCTACCCGCCTCAGAACTTCACCGGTTACGGTTCTCTGTACACTCCTGCCATCCCTGCCCATTCGGCTCCGCGTGACAGCCAGGCGCGTGTGATCCAGCACCGACGCCAGCAGGACAATGACGGTAAGCACTCTCCTCTAGTCGGAATGAACGCATGCTAATCCGATCCCTGTTACAGCTATGCAGCGCTACCAGAACCTGCCTCTTGAGCACGTCGGTGGTCAGATTTACGAGCTGTGCAAAGACCAGCATGGCTGCCGCTACTTGCAGAAGAAGCTTGAGGAGCGCAACCCTGACCAGGTCCACATGATCTGGCTCGAGACCAACCAGCACGTCATCGAGCTCATGACCGATCCCTTTGGCAACTACCTCTGCCAGAAGCTGCTTGAGTACTGCAATGACGATGAGCGAACGGTGCTCATTCAGAACGCTGCTCAGGACATGGTCCGTATCGCTCTGAACCAGCACGGCACCCGCGCGCTGCAGAAGATGATTGAGTTTGTCACGACCTCTATCCAGGTTCAGATGATCATTGACGCCCTTCGCTACCGGGTTGTTGAGCTGATCCAGGATCTGAATGGCAACCATGTCATCCAGAAGTGCCTCAACAAATTAAGCGCCCCTGATGCCCAGTTCATTTTCGACGCTGTTGGCAACCACTGCGTCGATGTCGGCACCCACCGCCACGGCTGCTGCGTTCTCCAGCGCTGCATCGACCATGCCGATGGCGCTCAGAAGGTCTGGCTCATTGGCAAGATTACGGAACATGCCCCTGTCCTCGTCCAGGATCCCTTCGGCAACTACGTCGTCCAGTACATCATCGACCTCAACGAACCCGCCTTTACCGAGCCAGTCGTTGGCATGTTCCGCAACCGCATCTGCCAGCTTTCTCGCCACAAGTTCAGCTCCAACGTCATTGAGAAACTTCTGCGCTGCTCTCAGGCCCAGGGCCGTGACATGATTGTCGACGAGCTCCTCCAGCCTGGCGAGATGGACCGCCTCCTGCGGGACTCGTATGCCAACTATGTCATTCAGACGGCACTCGAGTATGCCACTCCCGAGGGCAAGCACCGCATGGTCGAGGTTATCCGCCCCTTCCTGCCCGCTGTGCGTTCGACCCCTTACGGCCGCCGCATCCAGGCCAAGGTTCAGGCCTACGACAGCCGCGGCAGCGCCACCTCGTCTGGCCAGATAACCCCTGCCGACAACACCCAAGGCCAAATTCCCCTGCGTCCTGGCCAGAACCGCGCCATGGTCAACAGCGCTTCGATTGTCCAGCCTGGCGCCGCCCTGCCCAGCGGTTTCGTCAACGGTGGCGCCCGCAACGGGACTGCCCAGGCCATGAGCTACCCTCACACCTCGAACCTAACTGTTGCCTCTCCCACTGCCAGCCAGGCTCCTCAGCAGCCCTCTCAACTGGCCTGGAACCCCGCCCAGCCCCAGTTCCAGCCGCAGCAGCAGTTCCAGCCTCTCAATCAGGGCCAACAATTCCAGGGCCAGGCCCAGCAGGTCCCGCAGGGCCAGCAGAACCAGCAGAGCCAGGCTCCCAACGGTAACGGCACCGCAGCTTCCAACAACGGCGATGACTCCCAGTGGCTGTAGGGTGCCTGCGACAACGCAGCACCTGAGGAACACGCCTCTTGGAAGTGGTACGATATGCAGGAAAAACGGCTTTGACACGACGGATTACGTTACGTTACGAGGGGTGGCTACATGGCTCTCATTAGCCCTTTTGCCCTCCTCTTCATTTCAGCATGGTGACGCTGCCACGACTTGACGACCGCTCTTTCCTTTTACTCTCTGTGCACTACACAAACGACGATTTCCCTGGCCTGGGTCTCTCTGTCCGGCCTCATCCGCGTATACTACCTCCACCCCCTCCTCAAACTCAGAACACGTCTTTCTTTCTTCCTTCTTGCGGAACTGACGCTGCTTCTCGTTGTACACTACGACCGCGGATCGCATGGATGGGCCAACGATGGAGACGGGCATTCGCCGGGGAGGTGTGAGCATTGCCACAGGACAGCCACCGTCGGGGATTACCCTCCACAGACAAGGGGGGGCTTTCTGATCTGGTTGGCGTGTACTTGGGGGGAAAACATATAACCCTCGGTTCATGGACATAGACGAAACGAACGTTTTTATTTCGGCCTCTTCTTCTTCATTAGGATGTTTTTCTTGTTTTTTTCTTCTCAGTTTCTTTCTCCCTTTGTCACTTTCTGCATCGTTGCATTCTACCCTCAACTTTGCCGCCCCTTTCGATCCTGAGGACCGCCTGCTCATTTTGGCGATCAAAGGACCTGGATAGACACGACTGCTGCGTCTTGTTTTGGATTCCGGCAGGCGGAGCCCTCTTTTTCTTTTCTGGGCAAGACGTTGGAGGACCAAGCCGAGATGTGCGTCAACTCGATACATCTTGCGGCTCAGCCAGCGTGGACTCTCCTTGCATTGAAGCCCATTTCCTTCTTCCTATAAGCATTTGGCTCTGCATACACAGCATGGGCTTCGCTGCCTGGTCCGTATCCCGAACAGAAGATTCCAACTTTCACTGTACCTTGGTTTACTTTGAAAACTCTTCCATGACTTTGACTGGGAGAACGCACAATGCAGGCAGGAAAGCGGCGGCAACGCGGGTTTCTGGACTGGGAAACGGGGCTCTATGATAAAGCCACCTGTGGCAGGAATAGCAAGATGCGGTGGACGTGTTCTTTCAGCTTTTTTTTCTCATTTCCTCCTTGCCTGTATCAGAGGGTTTCTCCCTCGTAGGGACAAAATTGGTGGCGTTGTTTTCTTTCTCACCAGGAGGCTGAGGGCAACCAGATGTCTCTGGACGTCTCGCGCTCAGTAGCCATATAGCGGCATCCATCGACTTGTGGTGTTGGAGCAGAGCACCCTTGGCTGGGAGGGATTCGTATCGCGCTTTGCTCCTGGCTGTAATAGGCAGATCAATCAGTTTGCCAGTGTTCCGAACCGCCTGTGATGTGTCAAGTGCATTTCCCGCTGTCCTGACTTCCGGCTGTCGCGGTGAGCGTGTCGGACAAGAAGTGCCGCTGATGACAGACCACGCTGGTTTTGGTCGGAATGGTCATCCATAACTGATGACTGTCGGGCGCCAGAGCCAATTGTGATTTTTCAGGCATCTCATTGGTCGAGAAACGGTATTCACCAATCAGAAACTCCGGAACTCCCGTTGCAGGTCTGGACCCCCTACATATCCTCTCTGTCCCCCCCTAAAAGGCAAATAAAGCCAAAGCCTGGGCACAAAGGACGCAGCCTCACCGCCTGCCTGCTTCATCTTTTTTTCTCACCTCACTCCCCATCACCCTCGCGCTCACCCACCCTGTCCTCCGGCTTCCAACCACCACCAACCCCTGAAGAGCCAGCCAGAGAACGCATCTCACTCACCAGGCGAATACTCGGGGAAAGTCCCGTGCCCAAGACCAACAGAGACCAAAGGAAAAGAAAAGCTCGGTGGGATATCACCAAGTGAAACAATGGCCCGTGGCAACCAGCGCGACAAGGCCCGTGAGGCGAACCTGAAGAAGCAGGCTGCCATGGTGAGAGCACCTTGCCCTGAATCTGCCCCGAATCTTCCGACATGTTCGACCTGGCCCCCCCCTTGTTCGACATCAGGGGAGGAGGAGAGAATGAATGAATGAGTTCAAGTGATGAGACGTGCCACGCCTGCTCGACGACAACGACGCTCGCCCGCCGAGCCATCCTCATCATCATCGAGAGAGAAAGAGCCTTGAGGAGAAGAAACGGACCGTGCAGCTGACGTGCCCATGCAGAAATCCGGCAACAGCCAAAGTGGCACCGAGCTCCAGCGCTCCCGCGAGAGCGCTGCTGAGATTATGCGCCAGAAGCAAGCGGCCGGTATGTCATTCTTTCCTCCTCTGCCTGCCTGCCTGCCTGCGCACGCGCTTCGCCCCGAAATCCTCCATTTCTTCGAGGTAGGACCTCGCTGACGCTCTGCTCCGCTCCAGCCGAGGCACGCAAGGCCACTGGCGAGGACAAGCCTGCCAAGGACAAGGGCAAGAAATAGATGACCTGAGCAGGATCGAGGCGCGACGAGGAGAGACAGAGAGGTAGGGTCGGGGTGGTGGGCGCGGTTTGATGGGATGCGGTCGCCGCGTGAGGAGGACGGATGCGGCCCCCAGGCCAAATAGCAGTCAGACTCGTCGTGACGAAATGAAATGCTGACCAAGACTCTCTCTGCCTCCTCAACTTTCTCTCATTTGTTCACTGACGTTGCTTTTCCTTGCTTCTCCAGAGTCGGCGTCAGCGCCCACAGACCACTACTTGACCTCTCACGACGACGTCTCCTAGATGGCTTCCGAGGTGCCCAGTAAGCGCCCGAAATACCGATTTCGCAGGCTCGCTCACATGCAATCAAGTCACGCGCAAGCAGTTGCAGTCATGATCAAATCCTATTAATTTGGACATATCCAGAAAGATACGAACCAGTCATACTTCAAAGTGTGTGTACAACCCCTGTTTCCAAGGGCCCCATGGAGCTCTAGGCCAGCCAGTCCCAGTTGTCTCAAGCGGGTGTCTACAACAGCGTTGCCAATCATATCTTCCTTTCATCTCGTCTTCAACTCCGGACAAATAAATGTGATAAAAAGAAAATGTTTGGTATATCTCTCCCCGTAAGCGAGCAGCGTGAGGCTCAAGCTTACATCCACGATTCGCTTACCACCTCTTGCGGACGGGCTGGCCGATGGGGATCGAACCACCCATGCCACCGACGGCACCGACGCCCTGCATGTCCAGGTTGGGGAACGAGCCCATGTCGCACTGGACGGTGCACACGCAGGCGCCGTTCTGGTCGATCTGGCCGACGCCGTTCTGGACACCGTTGCCGCCGCCGGGAGCCGGGGGAGACGCGACGGGCGCATCGGTGGCGCCGGGAAGAGGAGCGGCAGGCGGGGCAGCGGGAGGAGCGGCAGGAGGGGCGGCAGGCGGGGCAGCAGGAGGAGCAGGCGAGCCGCCGGTAATGGGGCTGGCAGCACCCTCACCCTTCTGCTGAATGGCCATCGACTGGAACATGGCATGGGTACGCTCAGCAGTAGGGTTGATGGAGAAGACCATACCCTTGCCGCAGTGAGGGCCCTGGGCACAGTAGAACCCTGGCGCCGTTAGCTCGCGAAAACCTTGGCATCTGGCAGACGGGCAACTTACAAAGAGGGTCAGAGACCATAACCTGCATGGCAACCTGAGGAGGGGGCTCGACAGTGTTGTTAGGGTTGGGAATGAAGCCAGAGTCCATGCCACCGGCCAGGGGGTCGCAGGGCCGGTCAAAGCTGGACTGAGTGGTGGTGTGGTTGGCGCTCAGGAAAGTGAAGATGACCATGTCGCCGACAGCAGCGTGAATCTGGTCAGGGGCGTAGATAAGACCACCAGGGCCGCCGACGGTGACGCTGTGGGTGGCGCCTGCGGCAGGGGCAGCGGGCGTCTCGGCGCCAGGGTGCGCGGGAGTCGGGGGGACAGCCTCGGCAGGAGGGTGGACGGGAGGGGCAGCGGCCGGAGGAGGGTGCGCAGGTGGCATGGCTTCGGCCGGAGGAGCAGCAGCAGGAGGCGGGTGGACCGGAGGCGCCGCAGGAGGGGGGTGGACGGCAGGTGTCTCGCCCCCGACGACGACAGTCTCGGTAACGGTGACCTGCTGGTTGACAGTGGTGGTGTCGGCGCCGTTACCAGGGTTGACCCAAATGACAATGACGTTGGTGTCCGAACCCTCGGTGATGCCGTGGCCCTTCATGCCGGCGGGCAGAGGCAACAAGGCCTTGGCCGGCGACTCCTCGTGGTTCGTGGCGGAGGCCAGGGCGGCGACGGCCGAGATGGAGAGCGCTGCGGAGAACTTCATCTTGTCGATTTAGTTTGTTGGAGTATGTATTACTAAGACGAATTGACGGAAGACGTTTTGACTGTTATGGATCACAGACTGGCTGGTAAAGACGTGTTTTTCCCTCAGGAGGCCGTGTCGAACGGGATGCAAAGGTGTGAAATATGCTGGATGGATCCGGCGAGTTCCTGCTCGTGAAGTGAAGTGAATGAAAAACGTGAAGGGAATGAAAGTCCACACGGCAATGAGCGAGCACACGAGTTGACTGAAGAGAGAGAGAGGAAGAGATGGAGGGCAAAAGCAGAAACTATTTCGAGACGGAAAGGGCAACATCAGTGCTTAAATCAAGGTCGCATGAAGCTCCCAAGACGCGCTCGGAGCAGGGACGAAAGGCATGGCACGTCGGGGGCGCAGCGGGCCAAGAGGCTGCAATGGCTTGCACTCGAAACAAGACGAGAGCATGTCCCTGGTTGACGCCGCTCGGGTCGCCTGCGTCCGATGGAGGAACGGCGGTGGTTGCATTGCCATCCCAAGACGGAGGTCAAGACCAGAGGAAAAGGACATGGATACAGGCGGTACAGGGGGTTCGGTATCGTCGTCGAAGCATCCAAGGTGGGTTGTGTGGGCAAGCTCGACAAGGGGTTGCTGTGACAGATCCGTCTCGAGTCGCGTTTGGGCGTTGCTGGGCCCCTTGCCTGGCCCGAGCGGCCCATTTTCCGCAAGACGCTGAGAGCCGTTGTCACCAATAATACTGACAGGCGCCTGCTGATCCTGCTGCTGTCGTGCGAATGGCTCCTTGGGTACCTTTGCAGGCTTCGAAATATGGCGACGCTGTTGTCGTCGCCTCGCAAGCTTGCGATACCTGCTGCACAGCAATAATCCTTCGCGTGATCCCGTCGTAACTCGGGTCAGCGCAACTCGACCATTGAGCTTAGGAAGCATAGCTTGCGCTAAACCTTAAACTCAGGCACCGGACTGGCTCAGCTGGTGGTGGTTGGACCCCTTGGAACATGTGCAGCGGGCGAAAAGAGCGAAAGGGGGATTTTAGCTGCCGGAAGCTAAGAACTGGGGTACGTTTGCCAATGGCACACGCCCAGCCTTCCCGACCAGCCACGACGAGTTAGAGACGACAGCTCACGCACCTTGGCGGGTTGCCTTGGCGGGTTGCTGAGTCGCATCCGCCTGTCGCTCGCCTGTAGGGAAAATCGGCCCCCTGAACGCCCTCATTCGCTAGTTGCTTGGACGTGCCCACAACTCCAAACGGCGGCATGGAGGCTCTGAAACATCCTTCTTGGCTACCCTCAAGGCGCCTCGTCATGGTTGCAACGCTTTAACCCATGTCGTCGCACGAACTCTGCCCATCTCTTGGGTTGCTGTCAGAGAGGGGTTTCTCGTCTAGTCTGATACCGCGATGGCCGCTATTGCTAAGGGTGCCCTGCTTCTTGAGATGACGAGGACCAGTGAACTCTTCGGCCCGTGATTTTCTGACTGCTCAAAGCCACGCGGGAACGGAGGCCTGTGGGGGTTTTGAAATTAAATCCTGCGCAACAATACAGCGAGCCGCGCAATCGAAGCTCTCGCAGTCATTCCGTGAAGTGCCGCAGTGCCGTTGTGCTGTGGTGCGGCAAGTCGATTACCGAGACTTCAAGCCTGATGTATCGCCATTGATTCATTGCACGTTCGTCAGCACGTGCTCAGCCGTGCCTGTCACGGTATCACAATCGTTGGAAGGCCGGGCAGCATTATCTGTGACGTCTGTCAGTGTCGCGACATCGAGTGCACTCTGCTTTTGTAGTTCTCCAATCGTGTCAATGTTGTCAAGACGAAATATCTGAAGGCTCCCATTGATCAGCCCTGCGGTCGGAAGGCCCGAAGCTGCCATACTTGGGATGAGGTCTGAACAGCTGTGAGATAACCCAACCGTGGCAGGCGAAACGAAACAGTTCTGGCAGAAATTTGCGGACGGACGATAAAAAGGGGCAACACTCGTCACAATCTGATACTGCGTCGCTGGATGCGCCGATCCAGACAAGGCCATGATGGCGCAGTGCTAGATGCCCATCGCTCCGATTGTCCTCATGGATTCCAGGCCTTTCCTTCTTGGCAAAGCTGCAGTGCTGAAGCTAGCTCTAGGTGGGCGCCCAGCCTCGACACATGCCTTGTCGAGCCTCAAACGTGGCTAGCTTGAGTGCCGGTGCGTCGTGGAACAGATCGTGTCGCAGAGTTTCGCTTGCAGCCCGTTGATCAGATAGAGTTGGTGCTCCGTCCGGCGAATCTGGTCTGATTCCCCACAGCGACATCAAGATTTCGTCCGAAAGCTTGGCCTAGGGGTTTGGCCATCGGTACAGATGGCGCCTTTCACGGTGCGCTCGGCTGTGTACGCTGCTGCTGCTGCCCCTCATACAGCCCTGTGTAGTACCCCGCGTAGTACCACGACATAAGAAGTTTCTTGAGACCCTCATCTTGCACTATCCTTGTCGTCAGCCGCCCGATAGCGAAGCTCGGCAAGCAGCAGAGTGCGAGAACCTACCTGTTCCAAGCAGCACCTGTGGGGATGCCACTGCCGTCGCATCTCCTGGAGTGTCCCTCGACTCCGACACGAGTGCTGTTGGGGGCGCAGTTCCAGGGGTGACCTACAGCGACCACGCGCGTCAGCAAACAGGCTGGGACAGCTGAGCCACATGGAGGAAGGCCAGGCCAACCCTCAGTGGCCTCAACAGGATGCCCGCAGGGTTGCGGATACCACGGGGCCAGGACTTGACTGACTTTATGGGGTTCTTCCACGCCACCGGGTGGCAGATCTGCCTCAGCTGGCTGATCGCCTTTCCGCGTTTCTGACTGCAAGGTCTTGAGGATCCTGCCATGATCACCATTAGAGTTGACTGTTGATAGAGAAGGGGGCCCGTGACAGGGAGGTTGGGACCTACTTCGAGGTGGTAGACGCGCGCGGCTCTAGGTCTGCCCAGTTTTGCCTCCCCTTTGGCGGGGAATGGCTATGAATATGGAGTATTTTTGTTTGTGGGGGGAAAGAAAAACTACGTGGGGGCCGGTCGCTCCTGTTGGTCGAGGGGACCAAAGCGCGGTTCTGACGTGCCTTGTATTCGTCCAAAGCTTCATTCCAGGAGTCGATGAGGGCCGAATCATCCCACACCTCCTCGTGGGTTAACTGGTCTTCCGAGACTGTCATCGCGGGTAAGGTCTGAGGCCGGACCGAGTCAGTTGTTGACAAGTCAGGTGGTCGGCGGTCAATCACATTGACTGGGTTGATGAGGCTTGGTGTGCTGGCCGAGATAGGCGTCAAATTCTTGAAATGTTCTGGCGGATCAGAGTTGCGAGCTTAGTTCTACAAAAGTTGGGCGGTGCGGGGGCTGAATGAATGAGGCCAAAGCCTTCACGTGGATGCACTGAAGGCTGTGTGTGCCTTGGGTGGAGGGGTGCGCTTTGACAGGCGAGAAGAGCGGTCCGTCTGTCGAGCCCAGAAAATGATATAAATGTTTGAATTGCCAAGGGATTGTTGATGTGTCTGTTTTCTTTGCTGCAATGCCGCCCATGAAGGTCAATAGGCAGACAGAGGATGGAGGCAGCTCTTCGTGAATAGACTGGACGAGAGATTCAGGGCGGCTCAGGGTGGTTCAGTTCTCCCGTGGTGGCTCCTGCACAAGGTACCTAATCGCAGGTGGCAGTGGCAGGAGAGGTCAGTGCTTCCTGCCCGTCGAGGTGCTCCCCACTGAAGAACGCCGCTGGAAGGAGGGACTAGAGGGGTCTTGCCACACCGCTTCCCACAAAGGGTCGGGTTAGCTGCACATGGATGGCAGAACCTGGAAATTTTTCTTTGGTTATTGTTCGCCAGCCACGCCGCAAGTGCAGAGGTCGACGGTATCTTCAGTACATTGAAGTGATAGAACCCACGACAACCCCACGACACGTCCAAAATGGCCCCCGAACTTAGAAAGCGAAAGTGTACGCGTCGCATCCCCCCGAAAGACTGTCATATGGGTCAAAACAGCTAATTGTGCCCCAGCCAAGACGAATGTCGCGGAGCCTGTTGTGAAGAAGGTCGAGAAGGTGACGAAGCGCAAGGGTCCGTCTCGCACAAGAGTCAGCACCGCTTTACCCGACAATCAATTAACCACGTGTCGCTTTAGCCGCTGAGGAGAGTTCGCCTGTCGCCCCCAAGAAGCAGAAGCCCGTCCAGGCCGCGGCCAAGCCGAAGAAGCAGACCGAAACTGAGGTCAAGGCCGATGTCGAAACCGAGGTCGCAGCCGAGTCCGCCCCCGCCGTCAAGGAGAAGAAGAAGGTCGCCAAGAAGGTCAAGATCGCAGAGCCCAAGGAAGAGCCCAAGGAGACCGTTGTCGAGTCGGCGAAGGAGGCGGTCATTCCCTTCGAGGATGACGCGTCGGAGGACGATGGCGAGGTCGATGCTGAGCTCCAGGCTCTGGCCGCGGGTCTTGACTCTGATTCTGAGGAGACTGGCCAGACCGACAAGGGATCTGATTTCAAGACTGGTCAGGATGTCGGCAAGATCCCCAAGCTGTCCAAGAAGGAGAAGAAGGCATTGGCCGCGAGCAAGAATGCCGCCAAGGACGAGCCTGGTGTCATCTACGTTGGTCGCCTGCCTCACGGGTATGATTCACCATCGCGTTCGCCAAAAAAAATGAATGAATGCTGACAGTCTGTGCAGTTTCTACGAGCATGAGCTGCGTTCGTACTTCAACCAGTTTGGACCCGTACGTTCTTCTCACCTCACCGCTCCCCGTTTCTGCAGACAACTAATCCTCATTTGCAGGTGACCAAACTGCGCCTGTCAAGGAACAAGCACACTGGAAAGTCCAAGCACTACGCCTTCATCGAGTTCAAGTCTGAGAGTGATGCCGACATTGCGGCCCGCACCATGAACTCTTACCTCCTGTTCGGCCACATCCTGCGCGTTAAGCTCGTGCCCCGTGATCAGCTGCACGCCGACATCTGGAAGGGAGCCAACAGGCGGTTCAAGAAGACGCCGTGGGGCAAGATCATGGGCAACAAGCTCGCTCGTCCGTTAAGCGAGTCGGCCTGGGTCGAGAAGATCTCCAGGGAGGAGAAGAGGCGGCTGGAGCGCGCAGAGAAGCTAAAGGAGCTCGGATATGAGTTTGAGGCTCCCGCGCTGAAGCAAGCTCCTGCGCCTGCCGCGCTCGAGGCTGTCGCCGCCGAGGGTGCGGAGGAGGGCAAGGCTGTCGAGGCCGCTCCTGCGGTGGAGGACGCAACTGCCGTCGCGACCATGGAAGAAGCTGCGGCTGTGGGAAAGCCTAAGGTGTCCAAAGCGAAGGGCAAGAAGGCGAAGAAGGCCAAGGCATGAACGCGAATGAAATAGTGAGGGGTGCTTTGTAGATTTGGAGTTTGGGGGAACTCATTTTTGCACGGGTTATGATATTCTTCAACATTTTCGGTCAATTGCAGACGTTGGAAACAGCGCAGTTGCATGTGGACAGTTTTGATCCGGCCATTCGAGGCGTTGCAGTCACAAAGCGATGGCGATGATGTTTCTGGTATGTATGCTCATAGCGAACCCCTTGCACCCGTGGAAAACCGGGCAAGCACTGGGATTATAAAGGGCAGGGTATCTGTCTACTTCAGCTCGAGCGCGGAAAAGGCACTTGAGTGTGGTTCTCCTCACATCCCTCAAGCGAAGAGTAAATATATGTATGAAGAAGAAAAGAGGAAAAGTCCAAAGAGGGATCCATGAGGCTGGCTAAAAACCCAGCACCAGCAACCCGATAAGGATTGTGACTAAGCGACGGGGGTGGATGGACAGGCTTAGGGACCGTTTGGGTGTCGAGTGAGTGCACTATTCCAGCACTGGCAACACATCCACCCACCGACCCTCTCCCTCCAGGGCGCTGAACAATAGATATGGGTGCCTTGTTTTACTTGAAGCAAGGTGGACAGCAAGACTGTGGTCTTTTCCTCCCATCGGTAGCATTGCTTACAGTCTCGTCACAGACCCCATAATCTGGCAGGGCTACCAGAAGTCCGATGCCTCCGATGCGCGCTGTTTTGACGAGTTCGCCAGGCTCATGGTAGGCCGAAACAAAGGTGATTCACAAGCACACTGCCAAACTGCTGGCCCAACCGCCTCAGGGACAACATCTCACAACCCGTAGGCCAGCTATTTACACTTTACGAGAGGGTATCCAAGCCTGCTGGTCTGAAGTATATGACATTGTGAATCCATTCGGCGACCGGCGAGATGGTCTTTATGACAGTACATGGGTCTTCGATCTGGACCGAGGTGTGCTGAGTCGAAATAAGCGGTCTGGCTCCTCCACAGTACCTCTGGAGCTTGCGTGCCGCCGCGCTCTGTTGGTGGACGACTTCCTCCCCGTAACACCGTTCCCGGCTCCGACAGCATCGGCATTTTCCGGCGATCTGTCGATTCCATGCTGGAACTTGGATGTCGGCGACCTCTCAAGAGAAAAGTCCTTTGTGGGAAGAATCTTGCAAGATTTTGGACATACATGGTGACACTTACTCCGACACTCGTACAACTAAGAAACATTTCTCAAACTAGCAATCGCCACAATTCGCATCGCCGCCCTTGACTTCACGGTAGTAGAGCCAACCGGTTGGGATCGCAGCCCGGGAGGAACTTATGCATTCGTCTGTGACCTGCCAGAGTGGCAAAAGCCTGCCTCCAAGTTCGTCCAGGCCGGCGAGTCCTGGTTCGTGCTGGTCCAAGATCTGAATAGTGGTCTCGAGAGATACGACGCCACTTCACCTTGCAAACTGCAACGCAGCCTGCAACACTGCGACGGAGCACCGCGTACGCTCTTCTCAATCTTCGACAGGTCGCAAGTGTCCGACTTACGGGAGATAGAGAGATGGAAGGAACACAACCAGCGGCACTATTCGACGGCCGGAACCCCCCAACAAGCCGGGCCATCGAGCTTCTTCTCTGGATGACTAGACGCCCGCAGCGGGCCACGTTACTGAACTCGCTCCCAGTCGAGTTGCAAGACCGCATTCTCTATTCACATCGGCCTCTACTGTTGGAGCCGCCAAGCTTGGCTGTGAGATGGGTCTCGGGTCGCTTGCCTGTGGAACGACGATGGCAAGCCACTACAGCTTGAATATATTAAGCGGAAGCGATCGAAACTCAACCCTGTCGAGTCACAGATTCGGTTCGGCCCCTGGATGAGTGCAGTGTCTTACATACCATCCAAGCCTCAAAAGGTTCATCCAAACCTTCAGAAGAGCCAGATCTGAGCGCAGCCATGATCTATAGTTGACCTGTAGACATGTATTGGCTAGCGAGACTTGGTATGTAGCCACTTTGGCGGTCGACTATTGGGCGGTGAAACTTATAGTCGGCAGTTAATGCTGGATATAGACACCGCTCGGTCCGGATTGAGTACCAAAAATGAAAAAGATGCCAAGCTGGTACCGCTCACATGGAAAAGGGCAGGGCATGGTCTTTAGGTACTGAGCCCAATGCATCACCCGTCCAGCATCATCTCGCAAGTGTTGTCTCGTAGACAGCAGCACCATTGCCGACTCTGATGAGTACTTGTAAAAGCCAATGTGCATGCCGCTATGTATCGTGGTGTAAGCTCCTTGTTGCAATTGCTCTCACATTCGGCGCACTGCTCCTCGGCCGCGTCACTGGTCTAGCGGACTGAGAGGGCTCTGACAATGCAGAAGTCTTAGGTTGAAAGAGATCCCTTCGGGCAGCTAGAGAGCTTCAAGACGACGGGATCCGGTGGCGAGCCCCCTTGCTCATTCTACGCGACGTCGAAGCCTTCTTGTAGAGTAAAAAGCTGGCTGAGAATCCTTTTCATGATCCTACGGTAAAAGACATCGCTTGACGTTGCCGTGCAGTCCACCACCGAGAGATAACTTGGATGAATGAGTCGTCGAGGTAGGTCCGGGTGAATGGGCCCGCCTGGACACCGTAGGCCATTGAAATTCATGACATCCATCCCGAGTCTTAAGGCATCAGTATGTTGGCATCACCCATGCGGCAAGACCCCTTCATGGCGATGCCTCATTCATGGTACATGAATGCGCCCCATTGGCTACACGCCACGGCCCTTACTCCGGACACCAAGAACAAGACGAACGTGGGAAGTTGACCATTGTGGCCGCATCTGGTGTGGTCCTGAGGCCAGATACTCGACAAGCGGTTGGCAATTGACCTTCACGAATCCAGTC